TACGTAAGCAACCCCAAGAGCCTTCCCCGTGCTCCGGTACATCTGTAGTTTAGTAGTTTTCAGGTCAGAGACGACCTGGTCCAGTTGTGCTTTTAGCGCAGCGACCTCTTTGTCTCGGGAACTCTGTGGAGCCCTGCGCTCGTGCTCCCTCCTATAAAGTTCTGCTATGGTGGGAGCTCCTTCTCCATCAGCCGTAGCGCTTCAGCAGCGTCCACTCGGGCACGTCTTCGATGAGGAGGTTGATCGTCGTCTGATCCCTCCACAGCTCGTTCGGGGGTTCTATCGATGTCCCGACGCGGCGGTGGTTAAGGCAAGCCTTCGGGATCCGTGCGAGCGGTCCGAGGTGGCAGCGCGTTAGGCCGCTCTCTACGACCGGTCCAAGGCGTGTTGAAGAGGCGATGTGGGTTGATCCGGGACCTCTTGCGCTTATGAGAGAGCGATCGCAGCTCAGTCGTGGTTGCTTCGTTGAACCTTTGTTGCTCCTGCGCTCCCTTGACGAGCGTCTCGAGCATCTGTTTTATCTCCGTCATATCCGCTGGGTTATTAGCGGCGTTAGGTGCAAGGTTGTCCACGGAGTTCTCGTTCTCCTCGTCGTTCCTGCGTGACGAGGATTCTTTGCTGCTTCCGCTATTGTTCCCAGACATCTTCTTCGATCTTTGTAGGAACCTAGCTTTGTTGTGTCAGAAATTCTCTATTCCCCTTAGACGGCGCCAAATTGTGGAGGCCAAAACCAACACAACTAGATTTGTTAGGGTTTCGTGAGGAGGTAGAGATTTCTAGGGTTAGCTAAGATCACAAAGGTATGAAAAAGTGTTTTGTTATTGCTCTGGTTAGGGTTTGTTAGGGTTTCAAGGGCTATTAATGTTTAAAACCTTTTAAGTAAGACGAAATACATGGTTACCTCATGATTCATGTGGTTTTCGTTTTCAATATCTTTTGTTTTGGTTACCTCATNATTTTAACATTGCGGTTTCTTATATGTTGTTTTGGTCTGCAAGTCTGTCCTCAAAGAGAAAATGTAAGTCAACCATCACACCAAATAAAACAAAAAACATACNTCGNATAAGATTGGGTCGTGATGGGTAAGGGCTGGGACGAAAAAACGGGTAAGNATTTGTGGAGGCCAAAACCAACACAACTAGATNTGTTAGGGTTTCGTGAGGAGGTAGAGATTTCTAGGGTTAGCTAAGATCACAAAGGTATGAAAAAGTGTTTTGTTATTGCTCTGTAAGATTTTGTGAACAAGGTTGCGAATGCCTTCTCAAGAGCTTTTACATCAAGTATATATACTATCTCTAAGGCGGCTAAACTTCCTAAGTCTTCGCGGAATCACCTTCCTTACCAAGGTCGGTTGTATCGAAGTGGGCTTCGCATCTGGGCTGGGCTTTGGATTGTCTCTGCGTCACCGGGTCGCTTTCCTGTTATCGGGCTGTTGGACCCGAAGACGTGGTCGGATCCTCTGTCGATCCGAGGACGTGGTCGGATCCTCTGTCGATCCGAGGACGTGGTCGGATCCTCTGTCGATCCGAGGACGTGGTCGCCTGCCTCGTCCCGGTGCTTCCCGGTGACGAAGACTGTATTGGACCTAGGGTGTGATCAGNAGGCGAGGAGAGGACGTGGTCGGCCCTTGGGCCGAAGCCGTGGTCGGCTAGACGAGGCCGAGGCCGTGGTCGGCTAGGCTTGGCGAGGCCGTGGTCGGCCCTTGGCGAGGCCGTGGTCGGCCCTTGGCGAGGCCGTGGTCGGTCCTTGGCGAGGCCGTGGTCGTCTCCGTCGGGCCGAACACGCCTCCATTCGTCAAGTCTTAGATGGTCCTCCACCTTGCCCANACAGTTTCCATGATTACTTGCTTTGCTTCGTGTGAAGACTTAGGNGCTATTCCGCCTTGTTCGTCGAGAGTCCGGAGGGTCATTTCTTTAGTTGTCTGTCTTTGAACGTTAATGTTGAGCGGGTGAATACCGACCCCAACATGATTAGGGTGGGACGGATAAGAGTTGGTACATAATGCGGGTAAAGGCTGGGACGGGACATGTAAGGACTAGGATGGGAAGCAAGTACGAAATAAGACACATGGGTGGGATATGAACGTGTTCGTTAATTGAAATATGTAATTGATTTTTGTGATGAATGTAAATGATTAACTTATAATTTGAGAATAGTTTTTTGTTATTCATATCATATGCAAGACACGAGTACCTACTTAGTGGAGGGAGGCTTATTATATTTGGTTATTGGGTTTGTTAGAGGTCGAACCTGTTTCGAAGATACTCGTGCTGTTCGTGGAATAGTATATCTTGCGTTTATATATTCATGTTCTGCGTTTGGTTTGTTCGATAATGATGATGACAATGTTCATGTAATTAATGTGGAAGCCGTTGGATGGTTTTCTAAAAGTGTGATGGGTGATTTTGTATCCATTTTTTCAATTACTATTGGTGAGGGTGAATGTGAGAGGATTATTGCTATGCCCGTCATGGTTTGTAACATGTTTCTTTCTTTGACTTATAAAATATAGGTCTTATTAATTGTTTCGGTGTTTATTTGCTTTATTGTTATCTTGGTTTATTGTAATAATTTTATATTATCTTGGTTTAATAATTTTAATTTTATAATTTATAAAGATGTATTGTATTTTTTCATTTTTTTACATACCTTAGCTAATTATTAAGTATAATATTTTGATTTGATTTTATGAACACTAATTTTTTATTTTTTTT